TACATCGTGTACTAAGACCGATGGAAAATGAAAAGTTGCGATTTTCTAGGCCGATATGGCTAGGAACTTGGTTATGTTGATGGAAGTTAGCCTATTTTCAGGCGCTGCGTAATATCATTGCGCCTGCTGCACCCATGGTACGGCAGCAAAGTTCCTTGATTATTACGCCGGAATGAGAGTATAGTTCCTAGCCATATCGGCTTAGAAAATCGCAACTTTTAATTTTCCATCGGTCTTAGTACACGATGCAACTACAGAAGATTCGAATACGGTAAAACTCAAATGTTTAACTCTAGGGGAGATGGAAAATGAGCCTATTTTCAAAAATAGTGGAGTGTTCCTTTAATAAGGTTAGACACCATATTGAATTTAACACATTTAGTGAAACTGTGGTTACTATACTATTTTGAATAAAGCGCTATAGAACTATTGTAAATTGTCGCAAGATGCTCAAATACTTCCAAGAAAAACAATTTGTGTGATATATAAGAGTTAAGACTCTTAAATCAAAAGGTGAGTGTTTTGTGAAAGATTAACCAGGTCTCTGACTGACTCATGGCCTATTTTACGGGCTTTCTAAGAAGCGCGGGAAAATTCGGCACGTGTTGCATAAGCGCGCGAAAGGATTACGGTCTCAGAGATCAGACCTGAACACAACGACGAGCTCGAACAGTAACCCGGCAGCACAGAAATGTTAACGTGTTCCCGACTGAGAGAATGTAGGTCATTTTAATGGACGAGATTACTGTGAAGTAACCCAGCACGGATCGTTGAGTGCATATGGCCTGCAGGTCTGTACGCAGTGACAGAAAGTTCTTCAGTTCAGTCTGTCAACGGGAGTCAGTCATTTCTGTATGAAGGTATCTCCAAAAGAAACTGATTTCACATCGTTTTTAATGGCGTCATGAAGTCATGTATAAAGAATCAATTCAATTTCAATTCAATTTATCTCTATTTCTTATTAACAGTACACAAAATTTAAATTGTACTATCATTAGCAGCTAAATCTTAATTGTGATAAATATATTCAATAGATTCTGTCATTGATTGGCTTTAAACAAGACCAACTTTCTGTTTTTAATGTGAATGTCATTTGAGAGCTATGAATGATACTGTTTTAATAAATAATGACTTACAAGGACCATTTTTCAATAGAAGACCCAAAAGAGAGTAAATACACGTTTATTAAGTTTTACTTTAGTCTAGTTGCAATAGTTTAGTCTTAAATTTCACTTTTCTGTTTGCACATTATTCAACATTCATAGCTTCATTTTATTTCTCTTTTCAGCTCATTTCTGACAGCGAATTCGTCTGGAATAATCAAATAGATTTTATTTGTGAAAAAAAAAAAAAAAACAGGTAAGTCATGAAGTTTTCTTTTATTTGGACATAAGGAAAAAGTTCAAGGTATACAAGTGTAGATTGTCATTAAATGGATTTACTCTAAATTCTACACTACAAAAAATCAATCAGTATAGACAAAATAAATCATATAGATAAAAATAACATTTAAGTGGATGAACAAAAAACATTCTCTAAAAGCTTATTGTCACAGCCCATGAGGAAGGATAAGATCTATTTACACATGCAAAACCTAAAGGCCACCCTGCTGAGAAGTATACAGAACTGAATTAATTGCACCTAATTTCCACAGAGACGACCAAGAATCAAAGGCTTCCGTTTCAGGGAATGTTTCTGCATGTTATACCTGACTGCGCCAGGACCAAGCCTGCTATCTGAAGGTGCTGCTACGGTAGGCTCACCATTCTTATCTGAATGAAACGTGAGGCGTTCTCTTTGAATGGAGACCATTATCTTTGGCAAGTATGTCAAGTTCACTAAACACTGCAAGACATCTTGACGGCTCAAAGTGCATCTCTCTGTAACGGATGTGTGATGCACCGTGGGCTGAATTGCTCGTGTTTTCCGAAAGTGCTTGTGTTAAAGCCCCAGAGGAGCAGAGGGTGGGGTTGGTTTGCTCTCATGTTTCCTGTTGGTTTGGTTTGGGATGGCGAAGACAAAAGGTGTGATGGACTACGGTAAGACTCATGTAGAAGACCACTGGTCTATGCATCTCCCTAAATAAAAATGAGAACCTTCGGGATTTTTTTAAACTAGAATGATTTCATCACAAACATGCTCATGCATTTAGAAGTTTTCAGGTCTGGCTTTGTTTTAAAGAATATAAGCAACAGGCCTGATTGAACAACTTCTACTCAAAGAATTTGTGAAAAGCAAACCTCACAACCAGACTCAGAAAAAAATCAACTAAACTCAACCTAAACTTACACTCAAGTGCTTTGTTGGGGTCTGGAATGATGCACTGTTTTGATGAACTTATGCTAGAATGCTGCGTTCCATCCGATATTGAAAGATATTTTTTGTACTTAATATCTTTGAATGGCAAGATTAAAGCCATTTATGGTAATGGTAATATGCAGATGTGTGATCATCAACAGTGAGGATCGTTTACTGTGTTTTACACATCTGTTCTGCAACATTTTATATAATGAGGAAACTCTTTTCCTGTTGGAAGTTTTATTGGCTTAAAAGTGAATGTTTAGTATTAACTGCACATCTCCCCATGTCCCTGCGTCTGAAATTGTAGTTTTCATAGAATTTTCCAAGTTTGAAGTTCAACTTCAAGTGCATTCTATTGCACTTTTCTACATAGGAAGTTAGAAATTCAAATGTTCTGAGTTGAATGGAACATAGCATAAATCCTAATGAGTGTTTGAAAAGCTAACTGTGCTGTTGAAGTGAGTCGAGTCTTCGTTACTAAGAGTTGAGAGCTATTCAGCTCGCTTCCTCTGAGAACATTGAATGATTAACTAGTGAAAGTTTCAGTTGAAACTCCTAAAGAAGAGTCAAACCAGAACAGAGAAGACTGCCAATCTGGAATAAACAAAAGAAATTCTGTTTCACCATTATCAGCCACTGGAAACAGTCTACAATCAGTTACAAATGCATTCCCTTCTGTAAAAAGTATCACTCCCATGTCTGCAATCTGTATCCTGTTCTGAATGTTCCATACATAGTGTACACAACAGTATAGACAGCTTGATATATGGTGTGAATTAACAGAGAGGATATGCTGGATTTCTGCTTTAGCACCAACCCACCTTCTGCTGATGGAACGGCCAATCAGAACCGATTGGTGGGATAATAATGGAAACTGAACCAATCAGAGTGTTAGTCGGCCCAGCTTTGCCCCTCCCCCTGTCTTAAAAGTCACTGATGCAGAGGTATAATTAGGGGAGAGGGGTGGGGGCATTTTAAGTGTGAGTGAGAGTTTGATGGTCACTCTTCATCAGAACTGCTGCTGTCCATGGAATAGACCATAAAGAGAAGATCAGGCCGGGCCGGCACCAGCGGGTGACCCGGTTTTACCACTTCAAAACCCATGTAGTGGAAGGTCTTCATGATGGACACTGCACAAGTGGAGACAAAGACAGTTCCTCATTTACTGAATTAAGGTATCAGATTCATTATCCAGTTTAAAAGATTAGATAACCCACATGGAAGTTCTATTATCATTTACTCAGTCTCATGTTGAAAATGTATGTATTTAGAAGGAATATCAATCCACTCAATCAATCCTCTCAATGATGGAGTTTGGGTTCCTTGCCACTGTCTAAACTTGTTTTATAAATGATGAACTTTAAATAGTTATTGAACTGAATTGAATGAATACTAAACTGACTTGAGCTGAATATCACTATTGTTTTTTTTAGAGCTGCATTACAGCAGAATTTAAATTCAACTCCTATTACAAAGAGCATTATAAAAGTGCACAAGTATTTTTGTAATCCAACTTCCTCAATTTCCATTATGGGGGAAAAAACTGCAAAATATCTCTGGTTGTGTTGCACAGAAAAAAGTAAATTCCTGTTCACACCTAGACGATTACTTTAATGATCTAATGCTTTTAAAGGAGCCATATGATGCGATTTCAATTTTTCCTTTCTCTTTGGAGTGTTACAAGCTCTTGGTGCATAAAGAAGGTCATTGTGTGGTGGTGTGGATGCTAAAATATAGTCATCTTTATAGTTATCGTTCTTGGTGTGAACAGGCCATAAGTCATATTGGTTTGGTACAACATGAGGGTGAGTCAATGATGACAGAATTTGCATTTTTTTGGTAAAATACGTCTTTAACGTGTATTTAAATGTTTCTTACATCGATCGTCTCTGTTTTTTTGAAGCCATAGGAACACATAGCTGACTTTCAACTGCTCCTCTGCAAACTCCAGCAGCCTGGTTAAACTGCAGCGTAATGAGAGAGACAGAGATGGTGACGCAGTGCTGCTTTTACATAATGTCTACCTTATGTAATAATGCAGATGTAGAAGCCAGAACAACTTCAGTCAGAGCACACATATTTAATGCTTTCTGACAGTCCACCACCTGCTTGTTGAAGGTAAAACACTTTGTTCTAATGCTTGCAGTGACTTCACAGACAGCACATGACTGGACGTGATGGACTCAAATGAGAAATGAGTGGAAGAACTTTCATCAAGAGCGGCTGCATCTTTCACAGCCTCATACCAGCGATGAAACGTCACATGGAAAACTAACTCGAGCTGCTTTTGACTCAAATTAAACCAGCCGTTTATTCTACTCTGCCCTAAAACTGTCTGTTAAAGCTGAACCATGTAGCAACAGACAGATATGGTTCTGCTGTCATCTTCAATATAGAGCTGCACTTTGACAGATTATTAACCCAACATACCCTTCTCTGCTGCCATTATGAAGAGCTCCAGTGGGGATTTCCAAGTAAAGTGCGTCGTCCGACAGAACCGTGTCCCAGCAGGAGAACCGTCGCTCGCTCAACTGGTACTGGAAGTGCAGGACAGGGGGCGCTCCATTTACTGACCCCGCCTGAGTCACCGTCAACTTTTCGTCCTGGAGGACACATATGTAGTGTTTACTCACAAGCTTGTTGTCAGAATGTTAATAGGAGCCCAAAAATAAATGTGACCCTGGAGCACAAAAGCAGTCTTAAGTCGCTGGGGGATATTTGTAGCAATAGCCAAAAATACATTGTATCTCAAAGGATGTTCTAGCTCAAGAGACTCGATGGAGATCTCAGTTACGTTTCGTTTAAATATCAACTGTATCTTTATTGTTTCTCCAAAAATTACAAAAATAAAACGGAATTGACACAATTGTTGTTGCATAAATTATCATACTGTCTTTCTCACAATATTGCATCCATATTTGATCCTATAAATATATAAATAGCAATATTTTTTAAGGTACACATAAAATTTCCAACAGTTAAATGTAGAAACAGGTCATCTAAATAAATGTAAACTCTTGAAACCAGTTCTCAATTAAATCAAACTATGCAAGAGAGATAAAGATGCTTAAAGATGCACTCTCTTAATCACGAATCGATTCAATTATGATATTGTGATGCACTGCATTGTATTGAATTGTGACATCTGTATTGCAGCATGTATCACATTGTGATGTAGTTGGAAATTCCCTCAGCAATGTGGGAGTATTTTTGGTAATGAACCCAGTGTTATCCTATACCTTTTCAATTGATTTTCTCTAAATATTACCAGAGTGGCATATTTAAACACAATCGATTGATATAAATGAGTTCAAGAGCAGCCTACAGTCACTTGCACAATAGGCCGTTTCACAGGTGTAAGTGATCTAAAACCTCTTAACCTTTTTGAGATGGTCGCATGTCTGCACACAGACACCCTGACATCTATAGTCTCAGCTGTATGCTGAGCTCGAGTGCTGAGTGCCAACACCGTGCATATGTAGGCCAGATGGAAACTCTAGCTGTAAATATGGCACAGAGCTACGTGACAAATAACAAGCTCTAGAGATCTCTTCACACCCGTCTCCTCCCTTGGGCTGGTTGTCTGTGTATGTTTTTTGGAAATGGCATGGTTTGCTGCCCCAGTGTCTTACTGACTTAAGTATTCATTTACTGTTTAGGGTTTTTATTTAGGATCATGCTGTGGTAGTAAAGTAGTAAACTGAGATGGGCTGAATCACATTTTGTGTACTGTAAAGTATTGATTAACTAATATATCTACTGATATTCCAAAGTTTTGAGATAAAAATTGAGTAATTATTGTGTTAAAAAGAGTATACTTCATTACTAGGTCTACATGTTAAGTGTATTACTTAACATCACTTGCTTACTTCACCAATGGATCCTATGCAGTGAATGGGTGCCGTCAGAATGAGACTCCAAACTAATCCACACCACTCCAGTCCATCAATTAATGTCTTGTGAAGTGAAATGTTTGGATTACTTGTGGATTACTGTGATGTTTTTATCAGCTGTTTGGACTCTCATTCTGACGGCACCCATTCAATGCAGAGGATCCACTGGTGAGCAAGTGATGTAATGCTAAATTTCTCCAAATCTGTTCTGATGAAGAAACAAACTCATCTACATCTTGGATGGCCTGAGGTTGAGTACATTTTCATGTTTGGTTGAACTAAGCCTTTAACCATACCGCTCTTTGGTTTTTGGTGAGCAATGCAAAAATTAACTTTTAAACATATGCATGATTTTTTTTAATGTTAAAATGTGAAGTTTGTACAAATCTGTGTTCTTACCTTGTGCAGTACGCTATGAGGGAGATCCCTGCCTGTCCCTCGCCCACCCGGGATCTTCGTTAGTGGGAGAGGGGCATCAGGAGCACCACAGAGGCCCTGGAGCCCGCTGCCTCGAGCCCAGCACAGCACAACTACAAGACAGAGAGAGACAGATCATTTCATAGCTGTGTAAGATTATCCCCAGCGCATTAACAAAAATTGGCATGTGCTTCTTAAAGCTACCTTCACTCTGCATCATGAGTCAAGTGCAATACACAGCTTGGCACAGGCCTGAGGGTGCCAGCTGATAACAGATACCCATCCTGCCAACAGCATAACAACAGTCTGATTGTATGCTTCACTGAAACGTTGGCACTTTTAAGGCCTTGCTCTCTCTATATCTGTTCTTATGCCTTATCAGACACTGTGTCACCTTGTAATATTTTCTGCAGCACTGTGTTCACATTAACACTCGGTTCTCTGATTACAGACTATGGCAGCACTTGAGACATTCAGCTGGAGTAAAACAAATAGTGTACTAATATCACGCCCTTCACGCCAATTCCAGAAAGGTATGCAGCTTTGTGTTAGCTTACCGTTAGCTTAGCAACATTCTAACACCAAGCTCTGTTGAAATAAGTCAGTTTTCCTAACTAGATTAAAAAAAGTTTGTCAAGACAAACTTTGATGTTGGCTTGAAAAAGTCTAGCAATAAGCATTTTTGGAGTTTTGGGAGGTCAACATCTAAGACTTCATGAAAAACAAGTAGCCTACTGATTTTGCACAAACTACATCAGGTCACAGTGCCCAAGTGTAAACTGACCTGTTGTCAGGTTTACATTAACTGTAAGCAGAGATATTTGGGTTCTTGGAGACAGATGTTTCGCTTTCCACTAGACAGAAGGGAGGCAGTTCGCGCAGATCACAAACAAGCACATGATGTGAAAACAAGTCTGTAAATAGCAGCTTGGCTGAGAACATTTCACATCCCAGAGGGCTTGAGTTACAGCACTGGCTCTTAGAGATGGCAATAACAGACATTTACGTCCCCGTGTCACGCTGGGAGATCTTTGGATCTGACGTCTAATCTGAAGCCAGGCCACAAACTGTCCGCAAAAATGTCTCATTACGATTGAAAGCAGTCTAGAATATTCCCACTTTCCAAAACAGCCCTGTTTACAACAAGCTAGATGAAGGAATATGAGATCTCATGATCACCTATTGGCAATATGCTGATCAGGAAACAGAACATTGATATTTTATGGCATTATCAGCTCTGACAGCTATCCATAACACGGTTCCAGCACTCTGGCACAAATGAGATGGCTGTTCAAAGCTAGGGTACTTTTTCACGTCTCATGAGCCAGATTACCCAGCAGGCAAATCAAAGGAGGGACGTGTAGTGGTTTCTATGCCCTGGCAACTGAACATGTAACCCAGGAGACAAAATCTGCATGGTGACCACATGAAAACAGGTGACGCTGTTGCCGAGGATGTTTACTTTCTTTTTTGGTTACGATACAGACTATTTTTATTCAAGTGCAAAGAATTAGTATGACTGATTTTTCAATGCACTTTTGAGATGTTATTGATTTTGTTCGTTCTCCTCTCCTGGTCTCTATATAGAAGCAGTGGGCATCTGCGAGTGAAATGTCAGCTTGTTTTGAAAGCCGATACTTTCACCCTCTGACATTCAACCCCCCCGCCCTCACATTCTCTGATTATACGCTCTGGATCAAAACAGATTCAGGACGACTTTAAAAAAAAGAAACTAAAACTGTGGTGTCATAATCACAATGGTGTCCTCATGTTTGCATGAGACTTTGCATGATATTTTGAGTGGTTGCTAGGTTGTGCTTATTATTCTGGTGATATAATGGGATTTTTTGCACTGTTTGGTCATTTGGCAAGTGAAAACTGTAAGATTGAACGCTTGGAAAAGTATTAGGATTCATGTCTGTTGCACAATTAGGGCATGATGACTGGCATCAGGATGATTGGTTCCACCTTTAACGTCCATAAAACCTTTCCACTGGACAAAAGGTTTTTTAGGTTATTAAAATATTCTTCACACCAAGAAAAAATGGTTCTTTTAAGAACTGTTCACTGAAAGGTTACAGCATCACTGCAGAATTTATTTACTTTTAGAGTGTACTTGTTTTTTTTTTTTTCAAATCCCAATTATGAACAATAGTAATATAAGATAGGAATAATGTTTGATTCATAAAATCCAAAAGCAGAATCTATCTCTAAAACAATCCAGTATGAGATCATTCCTGAGTCCAGCTGACCTCCAGGACCAGCACAGGGTGATAGTCCGGATCTGTTTAAAGACTGGGATTCAGGTTCATCTTTAGTGTAGTAATTACTGGCTCTGGTGAGTGTTTGGAGAAGGACCAGGAAACAGTCAAAACTAAAACAGGATACTGCGAGTCTTCCAGGAACAGTTATCATTTGGCTACAGAGGGACACAAAGGGTGACGTCCAAACTTCAACTCACAGTGAATGTGTTTTAGACCAATCACTGACCAGGAGAGATATTACAAAGTTTCTCAGATTACAAAACTACAAGCAAATGGCCTTCTTTGACAACAAGTTTGACATGTTTCTGTATTGTCCGAGATTTAGTGCTGCTGCATTCTTCAATAAAGTGTTTCTCTTTTGAGAGTTGCCAGTTATCATTTGGCTACAGAGGGACACGAAGGGTGACGTCCAAACTTCAACTCACAGTGAATGTGTTTTAGACCAATCACTGACCAGGAGAGATATTACAAAGTTTCTCAGATTACAAAACTACAAGCAAATGGCCTTCTTTGACAACAAGTTTGACATGTTTCTGTATTGTCCGAGATTTAGTGCTGCTGCATTCTTCAATAAAGTGTTTCTCTTTTGAGAGTTGCAGATCTGGATGGATTCCAAGTTAAACAACAATTAAAAAAATAATAATAATTCAAAATTCAGTGATGTTTGAATTTTGAATGGGTCTATAAACAGGGCCACTGCAGTGATAGCTGAACAACAGAACCTTCTAGGAACTATACCTTATGTAATGTTTATCTAATGTTCTGTCCTTGTATTCTTCGCTCAGAATACCTTAAATATCAGGTTAAATGTGGTTTATCAGCTTCTCACCTGCACTTGTGCTAATCTTGTTACAAAAAATTGTCATAACATGATGCTTGGAGGTGATCTGTGCTGGGGTTTTCCATCCTCAATCCAGATTAGCAAATTGCAAAGGAGGAAATTAGATTGTTTATGAAAAACGAAGTGGGGCAAGGCGAGTGATTTGGTCCTGTTACAAGCTCATGAATCCTAATTGAGTTGATGGGGTTATGGATGAAATATTTATAGCATCAGTTCTCTCTCTCAGACACTCATCTGTTTGCTCACATTAAATCCGCTTTGATAACAGTCTGTGAGTCTGATCCTTCAGAACAACACAATAAATCCTAATCATTCATCATTTACATACATGACATCGCTATATCCAGCAAACAAAATATTTAACAAAATGTTGTTATATTTAACAAAATATAAAATAGATTTCAATTTGAAATATTATTGAAAATACATTTATATAATTATGTTAGGTAAAAATATATTAAAGAACGTCTGAATATATTTAAATATTTTATAAAATATAATTAAATATTGAAAATAATATCAATATAAATATAAAATATGTAATTCTATATAGATATTCTGATTTATTTAAATACATTTTATGTGTATTTAATTAATGTATACATTTTAAGTATTTAAATATATTTAATATTTTCAATATATTTAAATATATTAATGGCATGTTAAAAGACTAAACAGATATGTCAATTAATAATAATCATCAGCTGCAAAAACTTGCACGAAATTAAAATGTTGCATGACCGTATAAATAAAATATAATCGCGTATTTTCTCACCTCTCCTCTGTGTTGCACATGTTTTCTTCGTAGACCGCAGTACTCTGAAAACCCAAAAAGTGAATGCTGTGCAGAAAGTCCAGGGAGAAAGGCAACATGTATATAAAAAATTCTCACTGACGCGTTCTGCGATAAGCGCTCCGTGCTTTGACACTGAGCACTGACTGCGCGGTGACGTTGAGGAACTGCTGCTGAATATTAATGAGCCTACGTAACGTCTGCCAATCGAACGTCGCGCGAGATTGTCGACCGATACGCAGCTTTATTAATATTCATCGACGTGCAGCGCGGAGAATCATGGGAGACACGCATAATAGGGAAGTGATAGTGAATCTGCTTTTATTGTATCTTTATATATCAGTATTAGTATAGTGAATTTGTAATGTGTTATTCCAAAATATATAGTATTTCAATGGCATTTAAGGGAGATTCGGAAGCATAATAATGTTGCTATTTGACTGAAAGTTTCTGGGAAATGAAGTTTTCAGCTTTGAAAATTCCAACAGAGTTTCTGAATCACCTAATTTACGTGTAATTTACCAATAAATGTAAACTGAACAATAAAAGTGCTAAAATCAACAGAGAAGTCATGTTGTTCTCAATTATGTCAAACCTTATGAAAATATGCTTAGAAATTAAAACTAATGAATCTTCTGAAAATACTTTTATGCTCCCTTTATTATTTATTTTTTAAGACATCTACAGGCTTTTGGAGCAGGATTTATGTAAGAGCTGATAATGGAAACAACCAAGGGCCAGGAGATTAAAGGATTAGGAACTGGACACCAGGCAATGTGGTCGTTACACAGCGGTGGGTGATGATCAGTCTCAGTGAGTGAAGTGTATGACCTCTAGAGAGAACCCACAACGCAGTCAGTATCTTATAGGGTTGAACTCTGCAAGGCACTGGGTTTGAATTTTCAGTAGTAATGGAAATTCAACAGGGTTTTAAATCATTCTAGATAGTGTAGGGCTGGGGTTTTCAGCTGGTTTTGCTCCAGGATCCAGATCATCTTATCCTAACTATGCATTATAATTTATTGTTTGCATTTGCTGGGTTTCAGTCCACCAGTTGAGAACCAATTCGGTAGGGGAACTTAACCTGGGCTGTGGCCTTCTTTAAAGGGATAGTTCACCCAAAAATGAAAATTACCCCATGATTTACTCACCCTCAAGTCATCCTAGCCGGTGTAAATGACTTTCTTCTTTCAGACGAATGCAATCGGAGTTATATAAAAAATGTCCAGGCTCTTCCAAGCTTTGTAATGGCAATGAATGGTTGTCGAGATTTTGAAACCCAAAAAAGTGCGTCCATCCATCATAAAAAGTGCTCCACACAGCTCCTGGGGGTTAATAAAGGCCTTCTGAAGCGAAGCGATGCGTTTGTGTAAGAAAAATATCCATATTTAAATCCATATTTTATCCATATTGCATTATAAAGCTTGGAAGAGCCAGGACATTTTTTAATATAACTCCAATTGCATTCATCTGAAAGAAGAAAGTCATATAGCAACACTTGATATCTGCTCATTTTTGGTTCAGTATTGGATTTCATAGCTCTTTTTGACATGTGATTACATTAGCAACCACCTGATTTGGTTGTATCTGAAACTGATAAACAAGTTGGATGACCTAAACATCACCTGAGATCTCGCCACAGTTCCTGTCACACATCCCTCTGTGTGGTTTCTCTCAAACTGAGGCATTCTGAACCCTCCAGGGCTAAACAAACAACAAAAATATATTCCCTCTTCCATGATGCTTTAAAATGATTCACCCTGCCTGCCGCTGACAGATGAATAACAACAATAATGATCAAACAATTGAATATTTGATAAAGGCAACGATTGTTAGAGCAGTAAATCAATAAGTAATCACAAGATTTAGGACTACAAAACCCCTTTGGCATGATTTCTTAGACCTCCTGTAGGACACATGTAGGACAGGCAGGTCTGATGGGCCAGTGGGAACAGAGAGTGTGTTTAATTCCATGGACAGCATCGGCCTGCTGATCTATTAAAAGCTCCATTGTATCTTTTCCTCTCTGGCGCTCTTGTACATCCAGGAAATGCTTGTTTACTGTGTTAGGTAATCAGCTCAGAGCCGAATGGAGAGATTCTCTCTGTCACGACAGGCAGTGCCTGTAAACTGCTTCTGATTTCTGCTTCATTCATACCTTGTTTATTGGTATTTCATTAAAAAGGGTGACTTGTTGAGAAGACCCAGAATACCCTAGCAACAGACATACTGACACCCTAGCTATCACCCACAACATCCTAGTAACATTTCGGAATTCCCTAACAACCATCCAGAATACCCTCGCAACCAGCCAGAACACCCTAGAAAACAGTCAGAGCATCCTAGCAACCACCCATAACCTCCAAGCGCCACCCAGAATACCATAGCAACCACCCAGAATTCCCTATTAATGCCCTAGCAAGCACGCAACTTATCTAGTTATCAGTCACATCCTAGCAACCCAGAATTTCCTAACAACCACCCAGAATAACCTAGTGACCACACAAAATTTCCTAGTAATGCCCTAGTAACTGCCTAGAACACCCTATAACCACCCAGAATACCCTAGCAATGCCCTAGCAACCATCCAGAATTCCCTAGAAAAATGTTTCGATAAGTCTTATATCAATACATGTGTAAAATATTGGAGAGGGTTGACAGATTGCAATTGACAATGGAAGGCGACGAGCCCTACACTGTTAATTAGTTGATTTATCCAAGTTTTAATATTTATCTGGAAAAAGAGCTTTTTATTTGGATGCCGAGGCTTTTAAGGTCGAGTAGAATCTGTGATCTCTGGCCCAGTTTGTTTGCTGGCTTCCATGGCTGCAATACGCTGTCTTTTCCGCCAACTGGCAACCCGGGAGTCGAAATACTATTGGATAAACTGGCAGTGGGCGGAATCACACCGACCAAAACAAAAACAGACATTTCGACATGGAACGCACATTTCATAGAATAACTGGCACATCGTTTTTCAGAGAAAACTTAGCATGTTTCCTAAGCATGCAAACACTTAGCATGTTTCTTAAATATTATGGTATTTTTATGCTTTAGTACAGTCAAAAAATGACATACAGCACCTTTAAGAATATACAGGCTCCACAGAAAGTGCCCCGTCTCAGTCTCACTCCTGACCGGAACGCACATTTCAAAGTAGAATAACTGGCACATCGTTTTTCAGAGAAAACTTAGCATGTTTCCTAAGCATGCAAACACTTAGCATGTTTCTTAAATATTATGGTATTTTTATGCTTTAGTACAGTCAAAAAATGACATACAGCACCTTTAAGAATATACAGGCTCCACAGAAAGTGCCCCGTCTCAGTCTCACTCCTGACCTCAGCTGTGAAGCTCTCTCACTGTGAGTTCTGTCCCAGTCTCTGTGAGACGGGCTGCTAAGCGACAGTGAAATGATCCAATCCAGCCGAATGAACATTCAGCAGCAATGCCGAGTTCAGGCTGTTCCTCATGCGAGCTCACCTGGGTATGTTCTGTCCATACTGACGTAGATAGAGGCATATCAGTTGCTAACCCATGCTGACACACTTCAATAAAAGACATTCTGTTCACTTTATGACCCCTGACCCCTGATGGATAGGGATGCTGGCTTGTGTCTGGCACTGAACAGAGGTTCTGTGTACACGCATCAGGGGGTTTGTAGTGTACGGCATTAAGCTAATTGGCACTAATACTTTTTGTTCTGGCTTTGAGTTTCCATTGTGGTGTTCCCCACAGGACAGCTGATTACACATGCTTGTGTGCCATCTGATTAACTTCCCAGAGCACAGCACGTCACTTCCTCTTACTGTCCATTCATCCATCATACATACTGTCATACCAAGAGTTTAGGTCATTAAATTCAAAATAAGACGACAGGTTAAGGTGTCATCTTGACACTAGATTTTTTAATTCCACTCATAACAGATGTTATTTAAAAAAAAAAAGAAGTCTTAAAAAATACAGTAGCATAAACCTAAGGGTTTGAGAGGGAGGAAAATGTTCAAAGTAAATTACAATTTCTTTGGTGAAAGATGCCCTAAAGGCTGAGAAAAATAAATGCAGATGGCAGGCATAGGAAAACGGTTATTGATATTCATTCAATATATAAAAGTATCATTAAAAATGTTTATAAACACAGAGAGAGAAAATAATGTTTTAATAAATATAAATATGATATGTATATCATATATTTATAATATAAATATTAATGTATATTATTTATAGAATATATTTATGCTTATTAGAGTATTGCATCCTTCATTTCTGTCCTGAGTCCTGAGATCCATGACTTTTCAATGTTCCCATCTGAGTCTATTTTTGCACACACCATCCTCGGAGAAAAAAAATCGGACAATCTTTTAGTGAACTGTGCGAGTGTGTGAGTAAGAAGGGCAGCAGGTCGTGGGAATGGGTTCAGCGCACCAGCCTGGGCCGTCAGCAGAGACTCACATCCACCAAAAGCATCAGAAGTGCAGTAAAAGAACAACTGAGGAAATGGAGAAACAATGTATGAGTCTGAGCAAACACACACACACTGCGCTGGATCAGGGTGTGGGACTGCAGCGCAGTGACAGCCGTTTCTCTGGACCCAGAAACCTATTGAGAGAAGAAAGTTCTGTTTCCCATAATTCTGTTTACGTCTCCGCTGGTTACGTTCCCACGGTGACCTCTCTTCTTGTTTTTTAGTCTATTTCCAGTTTCCTTCGAAACTAAATTTAAAGCTGGTTATAGGACAGTGCATAGCAATTTCTGAGTGTGTGTGTGTGTGTGTGTGTGTGAGTGTGTTTGTAACTTCAAAGGTCTCCAGGCTGGAAATGAACCATGCTGACCGGTAGGCTATGTCTGTTTTAGGGTGTTGTTTATTGAAATAGCTCCTGGTAGGAAGCGAGAACGTGACCAGTACAGCAGCTTGCGCAATGAAACCGTGAATAATCATGAATACACACTGTTCCTGTCTTACACAACGGCCGGTGGCATTAAATTAACTCTTTCATCAAACAGAAAGCTACGGTCAACCACTTCTGGTCACCGCGGCCCACTTCTCTCACATTAAGCATTTTTGTTCACTTACTAAAAACATTCACTTACTAAAAACATGACCAGATATGAGTTTTTGTGCTGGTCTGGGCTAGTTTATGTCGG